TTTTTTTTCTCATAGAAGAACAGCAGAAATATTCACAAAATGTTTTCTAAGTATCACAATAGTGGAGTACTACTACATCACTTGGTTATTGATTCTGACCTATAATATCAACTTCAAAACATAACATACCCTAGCAGAGCTAAAATCCCTTTGCTATCACCAGCACTGAGGACATAGAATGCATTACATAAAGTCCCCATTCACGTGCAGCCTTCACATTCCAAGTGCTTAGTGATTCTTCTAGACTTCATATTATGATCTATAACAAAGGGTTTCATGTAGGACAATGAATTTATTTAAAGTGAATGAAAATTCTTCATTGATTCAGATCAGTGTTGACCAATAGAACTTTTGTGGTGATGGCAACATTTTATATCTGAAATGTAGGTAATCAAATTGAAAAAAAAATAATTCAAACTAATTTCCATTTAAGTAACCACATGTGATTAGCTACAGTATCAGACAGCATGTATGTAGACCCATGTTTGAAAATTAATCATCAAATATATTGCTTTTTTGTTTTGCATGCACAAAATTTTAAGTTGTTGCCAGTATTTGTATATAGTTGTTGCCTGGGCTGGTCCCACTGTCCTTTCAACCAGGGGCTCATATTACTCTACTGTTGCCTGTTTTCTCTGTATCCAATCTGACTCTTGATTGACAGTAATGGGTTATAGGCATGGCCATAATTGATTCACTGGTTAAATTCTGGAATAAGAGCTTGTTTGGAGCAAGCCTTGGGAAGTCCTGGATCATGTTGTGTGTGCAGAGTGATCCAGATGGGATTTATTTCTCTAGAAGAATCTGAGCCTCTAAAAGGTCACAGTTTATCTTAGAGCCCAGCTACTGGCTAATCTTGGGAACTATGGCTATAAAATGTCACATTCTGCATTTTCCTTTAGTTTAAACTGGAGGAAATTCTTGAATATTTAAATGGACAGTGGTGGGGAGCAAATACTAAATGTGTTGTCAAGTTTTAAATGACCATTCTCACTGAAGTGTGGAACTTTAAGTCAATGAAATTTCAGCAATGATTGAAATGTCTATTTGCTTTATTAAAAAAAATTAAGGGTTAGATCACATGGCAGACACAGACATTGAAATGTAAACATAGTCTGAATAATGAAAATAACAGACTTACATTGAGGACTGAAAGAGGCTCATATATAACACCCTGTATTGGTGTTGTGTGTTTGGTTAATTCCAATGGACACTGAAGATATCTGAAATTGTACTCAATCTGTAGAAGGTAAATTTTTTAGAAAAAATTATAGTTACTCTAGCATAGACCCCAAAATTAGTTCTTTACAAATCAAATATGTCTACAATTCTGCTGAAAATTAATGCAAAGAAGAGTGAGTCATTTCAAGTAGAGAAAAGAAAATTAAATTATTATAAAAATATTATGGAAAACTATTACTTGATTGCTTTACAACTCATAGCCATGGAAAAAGAATTATTATTAAAAAATCATTTAAATTTAAACCTTCATTCTTCACACAAAACCACGTAAGAAACAACATTAATGGTGGTATTAGAAACCATTAAAATATTTGGGGAAAAGTATAAGGGGAAAATTCTTTCAAGCAGAAAATACAATCATATGACAAATGAAACTAATACATACTATTCACAATTGAATATAGAACTATAATAACACTGTGTTTTTAATATTCTCCCAAGAATTTTAATAAAATAAATTTAAATTATCAAGATGAAATAAACTTACATGGTAGTCTCGGCAAGACTTATCTTCTGTGGAAGGTATCATACAGAAATCTAAAAGAACCTTCAAAAGAAAAAACAGCCAAAATATTGGGGCAGTGGGCATCATATAAAAATTTTATATAAGCATTTTATCTGTTTCTTAAACAGCAAACAAAGATATTCTCCCTTCCTTTTCTGTGCTTCTTTCACCTCAAGGATAAGTCATAATCCATGTCATTCAAGAACAAGATTTAAAATACAAAATGTCACAACTACATCTGCATGATTTAGAAATATCAGATGATTCATAAAAAATAGCTTGAGAATTAAATAGCATTTACTAAAATTTGGGTAAGAGCTACTTCATTAGTTTTGTCTAATATTTTGTATCTTTATAGATTTCTAGAGAATATATAGATTATTAAGGATTCCTTTGCTCATTATTTTACAGTGACAATTATTGTCCTTAATTGAGATCTTTCACCTCAGCACTGAGATCTTCCTATGGTAGAGGTCACATCTTCCATATTTCTACAGTCTGGAATACTGCATTGGCTTTTGTATTTCAGTTACTGAGCAACACTGAGAAAGTATAATAGTATAAATATAATAGTAAAATCGTACAATTTTACTATTAAAATGTATTTATAATGTATTATTATAAATTATAGAAACAATAAAATTTTACAAATGTCAATGTCTGTGTCTGCCATGTGATCTAACCCAGAAGGCAGTGGACAGGATTGTTGGGGATAGAGGTTGAAATGAGAAATAACTGAATACATTCCAGATGTTACACAATGGGAAAGAACACTCATGGGGTTATTAGAGGTAATCTTAGAGTGTGTGGAGACAGATATTTTGGGGACCTCTGTCTATATAAAAGATTTGAATCATCCCAAATCTGGTGGCCCAAAGACATGATCCTGAAAAAATAATATTGTCTGGCCAGTCTACCCTCTTGGAACTAGGACTGGATATTAGACCTCAGATGGCCCCATATTTATTCTGAACCTCTAAGGTGCCCAGGGGAGAAATGATTGGGTTGAAAGAGTTTTAACTCAATCAATGATTTAATCTCCTGATAGTGATTAACTGAGTGATAACTGAGGTGGTGGGGTGAGCCTGGAGGAGGTGGGAATTGGGTTGTGGCATTTGATGTATATTTGTATCTGGCGAGTGGACTCTCTCTCTCTCTCTCTGCTTCTTGACCACCATGATGTGAGTTGCTTCCCTCTGCCACACACTCCACCATGATGTTCAGCCTCATCTTGAGCCCCAAGAAGTGGAGCCGGCCTTCTATGGACTAAGACCTCTGAAACTGTGAGCCCTCAAATAAATTTTTCCTTCTCTAAAATTGTTTTGGTCAGATCCTTTAGTTATAGAGGTGAAAAAGCTGACTAAATTAGGTTGTAATTACAATAAAACCATATCACATGGCATGTGTATATCCATAAGGTTGTTGTTTGGGGGGGCTTACTTTCATGCATTCAGGGAGGTATTCTACCATTTCCATGGTTGGACATCTATTGCTTGGAGAATGATGAGTAAAAACCTGAAGACATTCATCCCACCTGTAGAGACAAACACAGGTCTTTATCCTCCTTCTCTGCACAATTAACTCAACTTAGATCTAACTCAAATTAGATCTTTAAGTTAAATCTAGCTTTAAGTTTATTATCGATATGCACTGCTTGTCCATTGGAGCCAATGTGTGAACCAAGATCAATCCATTAGGAGGGTCTTTATTAATAGACATTAGGAATGTGGGCAAATTCCAGAATGGCTGTATAATTATTGTATTTTCTTTAAATGTCTTCTAAAGAAGGCAGGTCTTTATCTTCTTTTTCTCCTGAAGTCATGAAATGGTATTTTCAGACCTGATCATGTTGGCTAGAGATATTCACATTCAAATACATATCAGCAATTTGGTATGTGGTCCACATTTAATAGTTAATTCACACACACACACACACACACACACACACACACACACACACACCCCTAAAATACTGAATTAAACTACAAAATATTATGTTAGATATATTAAGAAGCATAGGCTCTGTCGGAACCTTACAGAGTTTACCCCTTTTCTTCTTGGATGAGGTAAGAAGGAGCTTATGATATCAAGGAGAAACCAAATCTATAACATGAAGCAAAGAAAGCCCATTGATCTCCAAGATCCTATAAAGCAATGAGAATCTGATCCTAAAAACAACTCAAATTTTCTTGTTTCCCTATAGGTTAAAGTCCATTTGAATATCTGTATTATCAACATAAAACTTCTGGTTCTAAACTTTTATTGGCTGATGTTTCAAAGGAAATAGGTTTTTAAGACATCCCATGCTCAAAACATAGGCTACATATGCCTTGAATATGAATTTGCTCAGTTCGTTGTCCACTACTGGGTGACATGGAGCCTCATACATATCTTGTTGACAGAGAAAAGATATTTTGAGAAGTGGAAAAACTACCCTCTAAGGTCATCTTTAAACTCCTTAGAGTATACTTTAAAAACTTATAACCACAAAAGATCAGGTGTTAAGGAAAAATTCACTAGATAGCACTGGTATCCTTAGGGAATTTTTTTTACTGACATCCAGTTTTGGAGTTTAGTTAGCAAGAGTGTTTTCAGGCAAGTTTAGATAGGGCAGGGCAGAGTCACCTGACAATGACCATGGTGCCCCATCCTTGATATCCTTGGATCCCTCCAGTCTCACAGCAGGACTACCAAGGTGGCTTTATGTTCACAGAGTTAAAGTTTATAGAAATGAAAATGGAAAACCAGAGAATGAACCAATATGCCTGTTGTCACCCAAAAGGTCCATTAAAATTTGCAAACAACTGACATTTTAATATGTCAACTAAAGTCTGAGAGCCATTTTTCTTTTGTGTTTCTTCTAAGTCTGTGAATCATCCCTGACACCACAGGATGCTGCGTAATGATGGACAAGAAGCCACTGTACCTTTTGCTCCTGATGGTCGTGAGCACCACCTCCTTCCTCTTATTGTGAAGCGCAATGTGCAGAAAGGAGGCCTGCTGCTTGTTCAGGATGATTTCTGCATCGTGGCTCAGAAGCAGTGCCACCGCCTTGGCATGCCCTTCACGGGCAGCAAAGTGCAGCGCGGTGTTCTTTTAGAGGAAACAGAATACAGAAAATGAGGTGACAAAAGCTAATCGTCCTTGGGCCATTTTATTGCCTCATTTCATTGTTGAACTGCTTAAAGAAAATTGATCAACAAAGCTTATGACTTAATACCAAAATACACAGATGTAAAACTGGTGATCAGAATCAAGCTTCCAAATAATGTTTGTCATTCAATCATGGTACAGGGTGTGAATTTCAAGGGTTTGGGGTGTGTACACTGCTTTCGTGGTGGGATGACTCCACAAGGACAGAGGAGAAGCCTTCCTGGTAAGGATGTTATGGGAACATAGAAGAAAATAATCCTGGCAGATTTAACATCTAGCAGAGTTGTGGTTTCCAGGTGTTATCACAAGCTTGTCAAATAAAAAAAAAAAATCAGAGATTCCTACAAGGTTGACAATTCTTATTCTTGCCATTTAAAGATTTTTTTAAAAAAATAAGAGGGATCTTCTATCTCTGTCAGTTCATGAACAAATGCATATTTCAATGCTTACTCTTCACAAAAGGAGAAAGAACAGAATAGCACAATAAAGGACAGTAAGTCAGATGATTATACTTCAAAATAATACACTCACTCCTGATATCTTCTTTTCTCCAGGTTGACTAGAGAGTGGTGAAAAAATTTATCATCAGACCACAGTGGCCCTGGATAGGTCTCTGTGACACTGGATGAGTGGCCTTAACATGCACCCACCCTTTAGTGCCCTTCTATTTCTGTTCCCCTTGTCCTCACTCCTCACTCCAAGAGCTTATTTGTTAAAAACTCATTAAAAGGCTAGAGATAGAGCATAGCAAAGAATATGGCTTTCCTGCAATTTCAGAGTGTTGTTCTATATCAAGATTTTGAACTGGCAAGAGGAAAACAGGACATACCCCTTCTTCATCTAGCCGGTCTGTACACTTCAAATTGGTATCGAGAATGACCTTCATGGTCTGAGTGTACCCACCCATGGAAGCATGATGCAAAGC